CCACCTGCAGACTCAACCTTCAAAGCAAAACTTCACATCAGCCTTGTTTTGCAGGGTGGACGAGCCGAGCTTGATCCAGACCTTGAGCTGGACGACGAGGTGGGGCATCCAGCTCTAAGCGTTTAGCAGGGTGCACCTCGGCTGTAAACCCATGCTTCTAAGCCCCTATCTACACTGCAATATCCAGCATTGACCTACCTGCCTAGCTACCTACCCACTACCAGTCACACCTGTTTTTTTCTTTGCGACTCTCCAACACTCTGATCAAAAAGCCACCCAAGTCCTCTACCTGTGCACGCTGACCCAGTGGCAGCTGGAATGCCTAATGATGCTACAGTGCTCCTCGGGTCTTCGTCACATCGCCTGTTGCGGGCAGATACAAGCAGAAGTATAAACAAACACACACACACACAGAGAGCGCAGCACAAGCATAACGACGATGTGTTAAGCTGTGCCAAATTCGAGCTTCTGGACATATGTTGTAATTACAGACAGGAGACAAGTAGCGCAAATCCTGAAACCTCAACCATCCAATCCCACACACACCTTGGGCCCCACAGACCCTCAAACCTGAACCCTCCAAGGACGCGTGGGGTGAACCCGTCGGCTTCGCCGAGTTAGTGAGCATCAACGACCAGGCCACGTTTTCGGATCCTGAGCTTGGCTGCAGAGGGTCTATGTACGGTATACCTGGATCCCAGTATGTAGAATGATAGGTGGCGGGTCATGGTTTTTTGCTGTACCTACTTTCGGGAGTTCAGGGCTTATAGGGGCTAGCAGCTCCTCCGCCATCTCAGGAAAAGTCTGGATCTGATTGGGTTAAGGATCCGTGGCTCCGTAAGGTTTTGGGTAGGTGCCGGGGCGACGAAGCCGACATCCCCGCTCAATAAACACAAGGAGCTCTAGCCCAAAAGGCCTGAGCATAAACCCTAAGCCCCCCAAGGTGATGTCTGATATCCTGCTTGAGTACATTTCAGGAAGTCCTGTTTACCGACTTGACCATGCGAAGGCTGAACGCAGGGAGCCGGCCAAGCCTGCATAAACAGAAAGACCCTTCACCCCTGCGGGCGACGGGCCTTTAACATTAAGCCTTTGTGAGTTACAGTAGAAGCTGGAAAGTCGGAACACCATTATCCTCATGCCCTTACCATAAAAACAAAGGGAATCCCGGCACTAACCATCCTGAAGCCATGTTCCAACTTTCTTGGGTTCACTCTATAACAGCGAAGTATCGAGGGCGGACTCCGACATCCTGAAGCGCACAAGGCCTAAACATTGCGCCCTACACCCTGTATCCGTCTACCGCGTGCCACAAAAAAAACACCCAAATCCTAAACTCCGTAGCCGAAGCCCTGACGCTCCTTAAACGCTCATCGCCCGCACCCCAGAAATACCCCCACTCCCAAAGGGCCCAAGTGCCAATATAGTAGCTACTTAGTAGGTATTTGGACCCCCAAAGTATATACTATACTATAACTTGGACCCTTTGGGACTCCCACCAACAGAGATTCAAGCCCAGGAGTCCTACTTCCACCCAGTTTTGGGCTGAGGGTGAGCATCCTTCGGCGCTTTGATACTTGGAGGTTCATGGGTTGTTTACAAGTGGGGCTACAAAGTAGGGTAATTCGGGTTATGACACATAGTTACTAGGGGACTTGTAACCCTGCCTTGTCAACCGCCCCAATCCTTAAAGCCTATAGAACCCTTAAAGGAACCCTACTTATAAGACCACTTCTTACATACCCCTAAACCCTAAACCCTACAAGTGCGCGAGAGCTGTGGGGTGAGTGCACATGTCTTTTTAAAAAAACCCTACAGCTACCCATGAACTCCTAAGTAGGTGTGGGATCCCAAGAAGCTGTCCGGACCTCAGCTCTGCTCCTAGGTGGTCAAAGGGAGGGGAGAGGGGGAATTCTAAGTGCGCTTTGGGGTCGAGGGTTTAGGGTTTAGGGCTCTAGGGTTCTAGTTCTAGGGTTCAGGTTCTTGTTTGGTTTAGGGGTTTTGGTTCTTAGGACAAGGATCCTAGCATTTGGACCGGTGAGACCTCGAGGATTTGAGGATGGGGCTTCGGGACTTCAGTGTCCCACAACTGAAAACCCAAGCAGCAAGTCGATTTTTGGTTTTGGGCGTTCTGTCGTGAGTTTAAACGAGTTGGGCCTACTGGTTTCGATCCTACGATCAAGACGGTTCCAGGTTTCGCTGAGGTGCACGCTTAGAGCCCTGCGGTGTTGAGTCTTTTAGGTTTTGGGGCACTGGATGCAGGACCTCAAGGTTTTAGGGGTTCCGGTCGGGTTTAGGGTTCATAGTCTTGGTGCTCTTGTGCTTCAGGTCTTCAACTGAGGTTGAGCTTTTGCTGGGGCCTTTGTGTGGTTTGGCATTCAGGCATGGGGTTTCTACACTTCGCTGACTGCACCCTAGACTGTAGGCTTTACGGTTTAGAGTTTTAGGGGTTTTAGGCTAAAGGGTTTCGAGTTTTGTTTAGGGGTTTAGGCTTTAGGGTTTAGACTTTAGTTTAGGGGTTTAGGCTACAGGGTTTCCAGTTTAGTTTAGGGGTTCAGGCTTCAGGGTTTAGACCTTTCGGATAGCCTGACTCGCCCGCCCAAGAAATGTATACCACGGTTTGGGGTCAACATGAGCCTACGTTTTGTATGGCAGGCTAACTCTAAACCCCTAAACCCCTTACCCTAAACCCCAAACCCCTAAACCTCTAAACCCCTAAACCCCTAAACCCAAAACCCCAAAACACCCAGCCCTTGCACTGAAGAGACGCATCTCACGCCTGCGCCAAGGGAGCTCGAGGAAGAGAAGGCGGCAACATCTGCTCGTCGAGTAATATAGGGGCCTTAATAATTAGAAGGGCTGTGGCTCAATATAGGGGCCTTATACTGATTAGAATAGGGTTTTGGGAGCTCCTTATTGTAATTATAGTATCATATACCCCAAAACCCTATTCTAATTATTAAGGTCGAGTACCCAGAGAACCCAATACCCCTTAATTAAGGAATTATACCTTAAATCCTAATATGAAGGCCCCTATAATTTAAGGTATATTCCTCAATTAAGGGGTATTGGGTTCTCTGGGTAGCACGGCGTAGGGTTTAGGGTTTAGGGTCGAATGGGGTTGTTTTCCACGTCATGCTCTTTATTTTGGGTCCAAGGGGGCTGCTCCTCAGGCGATGCGTCGCCATCTCCCCACCTAAGAGCTTAGCAAGTTTAGGGCTTAGGAGTTTGTGCTTTAGGGCTGGGGTTTTGAGGTTCGGGGTCTTGTGCATTCAGTTGCATGCTACAGAGTCCGCAAAGGATCTATTTTAAGCCGGAGGGTCCGGGGGAACTGCTGCTGGGCAGCAGTATGCCTGCATGTGGAAATTAGCCGCTGGTGCTTCCATGGCCTAGTACTTGCCTGTAGCCCCAAGGCCAAGGGTTTAGGAGTTTAGGGTTCCGGGCCCCGATTTCGTCATGTCCCCATGCCATGCAGCAGGATATACTATAGGAAGTCACCCTGAAATCTCTCAAAGACAATAGGATCCACAGGGGCATCGGCTAGCTTTGAAGCCAGCAGATGCTGTTCGAACTATGCAACTCTCCGAAAAAATGGGGGCTCTAGGCCTTGGAGGCGCAACAGGCTAGCATGCTCTTCCATGTTTTCAATTTTGGGCTTAGGGTCAAACACACAAACAAACAAACATACATACATACATACATACATACATACATACAAAGATGCTTCCAAGGGGGGGCCTGTGCCGTTTCTCCGTTTCTCCCGAGACTATTCATGCAGGATAGGCTTGCTCCGTGTGTGCACTCCGCAGCTTTTGCTGTCGCGAAGACTTCCTCGAGCCACGGCATGCACCCCCAGCTGGTTAGAGGTCCTTAAAGCTCCAGCATTGATATCCTATAGCCCCAACCCGAAACCCTAAACCCGAGCCCGAAACCGTTGTCATTGTTGGATGCTTGCTATTCGGCTAAGGCCGGCTGCAGTAAACTGGAAACCTCAAGCCACAGTGCGTCCGAAGCTGGGTCGGGAAAGCCTCGAAACGGCTCAGGCCCTCGTCGATCGCCCCAAAGCCTTTGAAGAACGAAAGAGTTTGAACCCCTTAGTCTGCGACCAGGGCACAGAGGGGCCTGATCTAGAAGAGGAGTCACAGTCTTATCCTCAACCTTGCCAAGTGGACCATGCTTGAGCTTTATCAGAGACTCTGATGACAGCCCGAATCCAAGCCCATCCGGCAGAAGCCCCACGTGCCCTGAAGCTTGACGCCTGAAGCTCTAAACCCTCGAGCCTTAAAGCCAAACGCCCGCGTCTACGCCATGAAGTCGCCGGTCTTGACGTTGCTGCCTCTCCTGGCGGGCGCCAAAGCGCCCGAAATGCCCAACTTGAATGGTGCCCGCGGCTTCGAAGAGAGTATCAACCAACCCTGCAACTTAAGCCCTATAACCCCAAACCCTCAACAAAAACCCTAAATCCGTAAACCCTAAGCCCTAAGCCTTAAAAGCCCTAAACCCGAAGCCCTTCAAGTCCTCCGGTCTAGACAAGCTTTTGTTTCTTAGGGGTTTAGGGTTTAGGCTCCTATCCCCATCATTAAGGCCCTATACTATAACCTCCGAGAAACAGCTACTATATGTATATATATATACACATACACATACATATACATAGTTTTTGCAAGGGTACCAAGTTCAGTATAGATCCCACATGCACTCCATGCGTAATAATAAGCGGATGGCCAAAGCCCAATCCAACCAATGTCAGACCAGTGCAACCAGCCCGATGCCACACAAGTCTCACACAGAAAACCCGAAGCTTAAACCCTAAACCCCAAACCCTTACACCCTACCAGCCTCTGAAGCTAGGTTCCCTTTAAGATCTTATTCCCTAAACCTCTAAACCCTGCACCCCTAAACTCCCTATAGGGTTTAGGGTTTAGGGTTTAGCGAAACCCTAGGCCCTTAAACTCCCGAAAGCCGAAGGGTTGAGAGAACTCGCTTAAGGTTTGCCTGGCATGCCCAGCGGCTTCACGCGCGGAGGACCGCCTTGGCGAAAAGCCACCGAGAAAGTCTTCAACGAGGCCCTCGGTCGAGGGTTTAGGGGTTGTTCCCTTAAGGACTTAAGGGTTTAGGGTTTAGGGATTTAGGGCTTAAGGGGTTTAGGGTTTAGGGGTTTAGGGTTTAGAGGTTTAGGCTCTCTGCCCGTCTGACTGTTCTTCTGGCTGCCTGTCTGTGTGTCTACCCAGCTGTTTGTCTATTTATCTGTCTACCCATGCACCTATCGGCATCCATCCTTCCATCCAGCCAGCCACCCAGCCACCCAGCCAGCCATCCATGCAACCGTCCATCCATGCATCCATCCATCTGTCCGTCCGTGTATCTCTTTGTCGCTCTGTTTATCCGTCTATCTGTCTATTTCTCTATCTACGATCGGTATATGTATCTATCAATCCATCGTTTCGGGGTTTAGTTTAGGGTTTCGAGCGTAAAGCCCATCAAAAGGTAAGGCAATTGGCATCAGGTGTTCTTCGTTTCTCCGTCCTTGCGCATTTGGCGCGGACCGGGTCAAAAACAACCAACCTTTGTGAAGCCAAGACCTTTTGGTGACACGTACTGCTGTAACCATATTAACATACCCCAGGCCCTAGTCGAATTTAACCCTAAACCCCTAAAGCCCTAAACCCTCAACCACCAAAACTCCTAAAACCCTAAAAACCCTAATCCCTAAACTAGCTAAACCCTGTACGAACTAAACCACCCTTTAAAGGAGCCCCCTATGGATTTTCATTTTGTGCCAGGCATGCAAGATGAATCGCAACCAGCCCTCTGTCTTTTGCTATCCGGACATGAAGGAACTCCTGGAAGGTGGCGCTTTAAAAGGGTCCAAGGTAGCTATAACCAGACCACCGGAAGGATCCAAAAAGTAGATCCCCTAATTTGGGACTCTATACTACTAAGGGGTACTTTCAAGGAGCTCTATTAGGGGATCTATTTTTTAGGTCCCTCCGGTGGTCTGGGAAGTAGCTATAAGGGGTTCAGGGTTGAGGGTTTTGGTTTAGGGTTTAGGGGTTGATGATATAGAAATCTTGCATTACCTTCAGGACCCTAAGCTATGGGAATTCCGTATGAAGGGTAATGCAGGGTTTATATCATCAACCGTACCTATATAGTAGAATGTAGGTTTTCTATGTTAGAAATTGCTATTTTGATGTGGGGAAGTACTAGGACCCTTTAGGGGGGTTATCAGATTCGAGAAGTCACGGTTTGGGCACTACGTAGGGCCGTAGGGGGTATAGGGTTCAGGGCTTGGGGCTTGGGGCTTAGGGGTGAGGATGTCGGGTTTAGGGTTTGGGAATTAGAGTTTAGGGTTTAGGGACGAGTATCCATATCCCCAAACCTAAAACTCAAGGCACAGACCGGCCGCCTACTGTGAGTGGTCGGCCGCTTGTGGAGTTCTTGATTGTTTTCCCTCTGGCCCATCCCCAGACCACCGGATGGATCCAAAAAATAGATCCCCTAATAGAGCTCCTTGAAAGTACCCCTTAGCAGTATAGGGTCCCAAATTAGCGGATCTACTTTTTAGATCCTTCCGGTGGTCTGGGTCCCTACCAAGGCGTACAAGAAGGCAAGGACAACCCCGGATCAGAACTGAACCAAGAGAAACACATGCTTGTCCCAAGCCCAAAACCCCAGAAATGCACTCCAATTACCTGAAGCCCTAAATCTTGAATCCGAAGCGGCGTGTATCCGGCAATAAGTGGAGAGGCTGTCCTGACAGAAGCATGTAGGCTTCCTGCTCAACGTTTATAAAAAGCCTGCTCCGACAATATTCTTCCTTAACGGGTTTCCTAGAGACGTCTCACCAGCCTTCATATTCGTACACTGCACAAAGAAAGTTAAAGGTTTTGTCGCCTAAGTTAAGTCTCCTAAACCCTAAACCGTACAGTTAAATCCTTCGGAACCAAAGCCGCCCGCTGCAGGCCTTTCAAAGGCTTCGGAATATGGCGCAGACTTCACGAGCGAAACGTAGCTCGGTGCATTTCTGGGGCTTCTCCAAGCCTAACCGAGCTTTCTGGTTGAGCTTCGCGGTTTTGGGAGCCAGTGCTCCAAGCACAAACACCCAGCCTAAATCCCTCTACCACACGTCCGCAAACCTCAGCATTCAACCCTGAATCCTTATCCCCAAAGCACTCAAAAGCGTAAGCCCTAAAACCCTGAACCCTAAACCCCAAAGTCGGTGGTTGTCTCACGTGTTCGCATCGGGGACTTCCATGTCAATCGTGAACCTAAACCCCCAAAGCCCAGCTTGAATCAGGTTCCTCTTGGACTTGCACGTGGTCGTCGAGCAGCTGCTGGCGTGGCCGTCCGCGTGGACAGGTGTGAAAGAGGCCCGCTTCAAAGTCGAACCCTAAGGGTCCATGTACCTAACTAGTATATACTTTGGCCTTGAAGTAGTCCCTATATAGGTACTCTGGGGCCAAAGTATATACTATTTGGGTACATGGACCCGTAGGGGAAGGCTCCAAGCCCACTCAGCTATCATGCTACATACTGATAGCACGTTGTGTTTTGAGACGGACCGAAGACTGTAACATGCACTAGCCCATTAATTACGTTGATAAGTGGGCTCCTGCATTTGCAGGCTCTCCAGGTGAAGATATTTCAAAAACCAAGGCTAACTTGGATGTGTCTTGTAGTAGTACTTCTTCATTGGTCTTGTAGTCACGAAGGCTGCAGAGGCTGCTCGCTCTCTCTCTCTCTCTCTCTATCTCTCTCTCTCTCTCTCTCTGTATTTTGTCTTTTCTGAGTTTTCCTCGGGCTTCTCACGGTTAATCCTTGATGTTATACCGAACCTTCGTTCTGAAACCTTAAGCCTTAAACTAAACCATCCTTAACCTCAAACCTTGGATCCTTATGAACCGGATGTTGTCTGAAGTGCTACTCTCGCATTCTAGCTGTTACGGCAGTCTCGCTTGAAAGATGGAGTGCTATCCGACCCTTGACCATCGACCCTTTCCCACAATCCTTGCCCGCCCTCACATACTTGGAAGTTCATGGATAGTTAGAAGTGGGGTCATAAATCCCCTGATATGGGTTATAAGTATAGTTACCCCACCTATAACTCCATTTATAACTACCCATGTTAACCTCCAAGTATTCGGGAATCCTCTTGCGGGGTGCTGAAGGTCCTTTCATCGCGGCACCAGTGGACCAGATGCCCGCCGTGAGTTGAGGGTTTGACGTTTTTACGACCTGCAGTTTGAACGTTTAGGGAGCACTGTGGTCCGGGTCCAATCTGAAGCGGTTTCGGGTTGGCTTGTAAAGGGTATTGGGTGTTTAGAGTTCAAATTAAAGTCCCGGTACTTGCGGTTCACTACGGCCATTCGGCTGCCGCGAGGACCGCCATAAGAAAGCCGTGCCATCCTAAATGTGTAGATGTAATGTAAAGGCCCTGATGATTCGAGGGTGCCTAGGTCTACACTTCATAGTTATCTTTGTTGTTCTCGAATGTTTTGGGTGGTAATTATGGGGCGAGTGTACCGGGATGAGACTGCATGCCCCAAAGTGAGGCTGTGGTCCGGGTCCAATCTGAAGCGGTTTCGGGTTGGCTTGTAAGGGTATTGGGTGTTTAGAATTCAAAGTCTGGGTGCTTGCCGGCCGCTACGACCCTTCGGCTGCTGCGAGGACCGCCATAAGATAGCCGTGCCATCCTAGATGTGAAGGCCCTGATGATTCGAGGGTGCTTAGGTCTACACTTCATAGTCATCTTCGTTGTTATCGAATATTTTGGGTGTGCCGGGATGAGGCTGCATGCTCCAAAGTGAGGTTGTCTTTCAACTGGGCATGCGATGCATCGCACACAGGGCTGAAAGTCGGACTCTCCAAGCTCAGGAAACTACTGCGACAAAATCCTCGGAGGCTCGCCGATCTGGCGTCTCGGTCGCCATTGAGTCGTTAAGTCTGAGATGCTGGCTGGAGTATGTTCCACTCCAGAAAGAGTGAATCTTTCCCCGTTTCTGAGCCCTCCACCCCGCAACCCTAAACCTTAAACCCTGAACCCTGAACCCTGTTCCCTCAACCTGTATCGGAATCCTCAAAGCAAGCTTCTCTCCAGGTCTAGTCTGGGGACTATTCTTTGATGCACACATATTCTAGCCAGGAAACCCGCGTCGATTCTTCGAGTCAGTTTGCTGATGGTCAGTGAAACGATCCTTTTGGGATGCCAACCCTAGGGTACTTCAACTAGCATCGCGATCAAATATAATAGAAAACGGGAGCGCTGCAGACACAGCAACGGCAGCGCCAAGAGCAGTGGTATTGCCGGTGGCAGTAGTAGCAGCAGCAGCAGCAGCAGCAGCAGCAATAGTAGTAGTAGTAGTAGTAGTAGTAGTAATAATAATAGTAGTAGTAGCAGGAGGAGCAGGAGGAGGAGGAGCAGCAGCAGCAGCAGCAGCAGTAGCGGTAGCAGTAGCAGAGTACTGGTACTAGTACTAGTACTTACTAGTGGTAGAAGTAGTAGTCATCGTCTTCCTCGGAATTACGTCACCAGCACCAGCACGGTTCTCATCACCAGAACCACGTTCACGAAAGCATAAACAATTGTAAAGGCTCCGTCCCTTTGCTGCTGTTTCTGATGCTAAACTACTGCCTGGTGCCGTAGTAGCATTTTGTGGTCACCGTGGGACATGAGTGGCAAGCCAGTCCCGCTTCAAGGCCGAAATCACAAGCCATGTCCGAGCCAGAGAAAGTTCAGCAAGCCGGAAACGGACCTGCCGGGTGTTCAGAATGTGGAACAAGTCCAAGCCCTAAGCCCTTTAAACCGAACAAACACCTAAACCCTAAACCCATCCTCACCTTCGGGAGGTTGGGTCCTCTGCCTGAGGTATGCGCCACCCTTGGTTCGCAAAAGCTTCATCACCCCTCGGTCCACCATGGCACAGGTCGAGAAGGACTGGCGGCTTGTTGAGCGTTGGATAAGTGGCCAATGGCATTCAATGCCTCAGACGATCAGACGACCTATCTATATGACTTATTCCTCTAGAGTGTGAGCGCTTTTCCTAGGTAATTACTCACGTAATCACACAAAGGACAAAGGCATGCGGGTTCAGGATTCTGTTTCGCATCAGATAGCTTTGCTTGATGTATGCAGGATCAACCCTATGTGGCTGCCGCTTTCAACCGTTACTTGGAAGAGCTCGGCAAGAACGGCGACGGCAGAACGAAGGAAGCTGGGGGGATTTGGCCGTACCTTTAGAGACAGTCGCACTGAGAATTGAAGGACCCTTAAGTCCGGAACCCTAGATCCCTAAACCCTAAACCCAACACTCTAAACCGTGACCGTGACCTTGTACCTGGCCCTTTGGGCTCACCAAAGCAGAGGAGCTAATCCGCGAGCTTCGGGCGAACGATGTCGCGGACATCAAGAGCAAGTCGGTGCACGCCAGGCATGTTGCTTCCCTTTTTACCCTGCGCGTTAATCAAATTTATCCTGTGTACTGTAATTACTCTGAACCTGCAAAAACAAGTAGACAGGCGAGTTTGGGTAGTTTAAGGAAGCTTGTCTGTTTGTTCGCTTAGGATTGGGGCTTCAGCATCCAAGGGCGGGGTGCAAGATCTAGACTGTCATCTTCCACGAAGCAGCAGCATTCTTAGTAGAGTTTAGTATGGGCGTCTTGGATTTGGAGTTTAGGCAAATTTTCCTGTGGCATGTTCGCTCGATTTTCCAGCTTTGCCGCTACGGTGTGGTCGGAAATTCATTTCACGGACTTTAACGCATTTAGAACAGCAATCTCAAACTAACCCTTATGCTTCCAGGGACCTAATTATTGGGTCCTTAGGGGGGATAGGGCCCTAACTATGAGGTCCTTGGAAGCATAGGGTAAGACACATGGAAGAACCCTAAATGCTTGTACTCCGGATGATATTTCTGGTCCCCACCAGCTTTAAACTACACTCTCACACACACAGGCACAGAGCGTCAACGTTATGGCAAAGACGCGGGGCAATCGAAACGGCTGGCTCCGAGGTCCGAAGTACCATTGGAGAAATCAAGCCCTGAGAGCCAACAAGTCTAACCGCACAATATTCGCTTGTCCGATCCGTATACGGAGTCGCACCCTGAAGCTGGTTGAGTTATATCATTGTGTTAGAGGGCTGAGGGGATTGGTTTTAGGTTTTACTGTAACCCTTCTCCGACAAAAAAGGTCATGGTGTTCTGAGAGGCCCCTGATGCGGCTGATGATGCACGAGCACGCCAAAGTGCTGAAGTTCTTGCTTGGGATGCCCGGCCAATCTCAGGCTTTAAAGACGTGTGCATTTCGTCTTTTAAAAGGTTTAGGAAATCCCAACGCTGCCCTTGTGTTGGAGCAGGCCGTTTCAGAAACAAGCTTCAGATAGTCCAGTTGATTGCTTGAATGTTGGGGAGTCTCCACTCCGGGCTTTTGAGAGATTCATTTTGTGCCTCCCCCTACCCCAGTCTCTGTGGTCAGACAGTTCGTGGTGCTTCTGCAAACATTTCATGTTTGTTTAATTATCTTGTCCCACGGCCTTCAACTTTGCCGCAAACCTATACCAAAAGCCCTGTACCCCAAATTCTGAACACAGAACCATCAACCCTAAACCAAGACTTCGGAACCCTAACCCCTCCCACGTCTTGAGCCCTTCGCTGATGGTGAATATACAAGATTGGCGACCATCGGCCACAGGTGTTAAGTAGGCTTAAGCCTAAACCCTAAACCCTACATAAGCAGGCCGGGTGCGAGAGTCAAANNAAAAAAAAAGAAGCCCTACAGAGGGTTTAGGGTGTGTAGGGTTTCAATCCTTTTCGGTTTTAAGTACCCGGAGTCTCCTGTGTGCAGCCCGAAGCTTGAGATTGGCTGCAGCTTCCCCGGTAGATGGGAGGATAGAGCAAGGGGCCCTTGAGAAACCTGCACCCCTTCCGCAAGGAGCTCTGGTCGTCTTAGAGGCCTGTATCGAAGAAGCAGTGCTAACTACGATACTGGTCAGACTTAAAGCTTGAGTTACGGATATGCGCCATGTTCCCACGTTCAAGGTGCATGTCATGGCGCACGCCGCACTGATCTCTCAACCCTCAAAACCCTGGTTCGTTCGACTGGTCACGCCAAATTGACAGGGCGGTGTCGAAGAACTCGATCGTAGCGTTTGAGTGCATGGCGGCTGCTCTGCATTGCTGTTCCGTGCCAAGTAAGTATATGTTTGAGCACGTGCTCCCCNNCCCCCCCCCCCCCCCCCCCCATGCAACTGTTTCCGTACTTCGGGAAGCCAGAACCATCCAAAGCCACTTTCCTTCGGGCGTATAACGGCAGGGTAGTACTTCGTCCTCAAAGTTCGTGGCCCAGGAAAGCATGCAAAGGCAGCAAAGAGGCGTGGGCCAAGTTCGAAAGCCGCGGCCTCACCATCACTCCGACCATTTCAAAAACTTTTTGGGGGCAATTAGGGCACAAGTTCAGCGGAGGTAGTGGGTCCCATGTAAGTGTTGCTCTTCTGGTAGTACGGTCGGTGTTGAAACCTTCCGAAAACTCTCCGGACACTCTGGCAACTAGATTTTTCGACTTGAGGGATGCCCTGCAAAACCGTCCTCTTCGAAAGAGGGTGTCAGTGGCATGTGATCCAAGCTCCATAGCACGATATCGACGATCTGTGCATGCATTTTCCACGTCTGTGGTTCTCGGAGCCTGAATGATTTCTGAGGTTCCTAAACCCTAATAAACCCTTAGTTAGGGTTCCTTATTATGACTATATTACAACTTGCCCCAAACCCTCCTCGAATTACCATGGCCGGTATTCTTCGACCGTCATGCGAGCGTAGCATGCGCTGCAAGGCTTCGTCCCTNNATAATGAGCCCCAAAACCCCATTCTAATTACTAAGGCCCCTGAAAGTTCAGGGAGGGTTTCAAGCTGAGCCTCGCTTCAGGACAGGACTTGAATGGCCTGACCATCGTGCATCACGCCGCCAGTCAGGGGTGCCTGGCTTCGTTAGTTAGTCTATTCCCCCTGCGACCGACCAAGACCTCCACGCTCAGGGTTTAGGGTTTTAGGGTCACACACCAGGGTTCACTGAAACAGTCGTTTGGTGCATCCGATGCTGTATCGCGTACTTGATGGCAATGAATCAATGAAGCACTGACCTGTTTATGTGGCCGAAGTTGAAGAGGTGTCTGAGCTATGATCCACAAGTACAGAGGAGCTTCGGCAGTCTTGTCTTGGGGCCTTCGCACGGCCTTCTTTCCTCCCCCCAAATGTCGTCCCCCGGAGCCCTAACCTGACCAAGTCGATGCCTCTCAAGGAACAGCGCTGCGGTGGAGGACGGAGGGCGGGTGGTGTGTTTTTATAGACGTGCAGCTTGTGGTTTATAGCTTTTCAGAGGGTTTAGTTTAGTCAGCTCAGTGAGACAGGGTTGGTACATGCTATCAGGATTGGGGCTAGCAGGTAGGGTTTAGGGTTTAGGGATGCTGGTGCATTTTGGGTGACGGTTAGAGGATTTGCAGCAGGGCCTAGGGGATCTGCTTGTCGAGTCTCTGACTTTGGCATCACCGTCTTCAGTATCTTTAAAGGGTTGCCGGAGTGCCGTCTTTGAGGTTCTCCTACCCGTAACATAGATGCCGGAAAGGCTAGTAATGCTACTCCTTACGGATTAGGGCACCTTGCACAAACTGCAATATAATCTGCCGCAAGCCGCCATGTTAACCTGTCCTGGCCAGGTTTGGAGATCGAGTTCCCATGAGGTGTTTTGGTGTGAAAGGTTGCAAGATGTAAGTTAAGCATTTGCCGACTTGCCCAAACTTAACTTTAGGCGTAGACTGTATACTCCGGTGACCTAGTTCAGAACAGCCCCGAAATGTGTGAGAAAGCCCTATAAGTCCCTGAACTCCCATACCTGGACCCCAAAAAGTATGTAGAATAATAGTTTTTTTTTTTTTTAATGGGTTTTGGGCCATTAGTTTACCTACTATTGGGGGTTTAGGTAGCCCTACCAGCACGTATTCATACCTGCCCACCTGGATCTGCCTTACATAAGCCCCAAACTGCCCGGCTTTGCCCCTAGGCACGAACTCAGGGTTTTGGGCTTACCCAGAGAACCCAGTACCCCTTAGTTAAGGAACATACCTTAAATTATAGGGGCCTTATTATTATGGTTTAAGGTATATTCCTTAATTAAGGGGTATTGGGTTCTCTGGGTACCCGTCTACAGGCGATCCTCCGTGCTGCGCCCAAGAAAAAGCGCCAGCAGCTGGCGACCACGCGCGATGGTTACGGTCGCCAGGTTTCAATTGAGTTGGAGAGTTTTGGACCTTAGGATTTAGAGCAGTCTGGTTTTTTCATTAAATGACAGGTCCAAGACCGAGGGTTTAGAGGGTTCCATGATGTTAAAGGTAATTTACCCTATGCTTCCAGGGATCTTATTGTTAGGGCCCTAGACCCCTCAAGGACCCAATAATACGGTCCCCGGAAGCCTAGGGCTAGAGCATCGCGATGATTCCTGAGATTTCTGGGCCGATGTTTGTGCTCATTGTATTCCATGTTCTGCGACATGAGATTGTTACTTGGAGGTTCATGGGTAGTTATAAGTGGAGCTACAAGTAGGGCAACTATAGTATAGTTATAACCCAAATTTGGGGACTTGTAACCAACTACCCATGAACCTCCAAGTATGACCCCAGCCATCGAGCTGAAAGTCCTAAATCCTAAGACCTAACCATAGAAATCCACAGATCCGATCGGATTCTGGATACGGCCACTTGCCCCGAGTCCAAGGTTCCGTGAATTTCGGAACCACAAAGCTGAAGTGCAGCCTTCGGCTGTCGTAGACCCTACCCCTGCCCTGCCTAAACCCTCGGCCGCACGCCCCGGTGTGCGATCTGTGAGGTTTCCGAATTGCGTGGTACACAGATCAGAGTGTGTCGCAGGGTCCTGTTATTGCAGGGTTTTGGGCTTCAGGGGATATGGAGGGTTTGTGGTTTTACATATATAGAGTTTAGGATTTATGGGGTTCCTTTGTATCTGCAGGCAGGATCCTTTGCATTCTACTGGCAAATCAAGATCTTCAACAAGCTGCTTTGACTTCTCTTCCAAACCCTAAACCCTAAACCCTATAAGCCCTATAAGCCCTTTAAGCCCTATAAGCCCTATAAGCCCTATAAACCCTATAAGCCCTATAAACCCTAAACTCAAACAGGGTTTTGGATGTGTCTCCGTTTCAAGGCTCC